AGTCCTAATTTTATGATGGTTCCTTAATATATTTTAACTACATTGCATTTGAGTATGGAGAGGCAACTATCTGGAAGTATTTTACATAAAAAATTTACTAAGTATTGCCCGGTTTGTAGTTGCAGTTAAACAAAACACATGAAAAGGCACGATTTTTTTTAAATTCGAAAAAATGTAAATATTTCAAAAACGGTGACACTTTTACCTGAAAATTTTTTGTTTATCAGGGAGCTCACCCCCCCACCTACCTTCCCCTAAAGTTTGGCACGTTACTTCTGGGACACCCTGTATAAACTATATAATAAGCAATGTCATAACAGCACCGTTCGTTTGATTTTCCACAATAAGGTGTCAAATTATAACTCTTGGACTGGAGTAATGCAAAGTTTTATTTTTTTGAAAAGAGTTGCCACCTTTTAAAAAATTGCATTCAAATTATCTAAAAAAAATCAATTATTACATAATGGGTATCAGTGGAAAGTGTTTTGAAAATATTTGTTTCTTAACTTAACTTTAGGAAGGTTGCTACCTGTTTAAATATTAAATTCAATTTGAATTAAGAAAATTAATTAAGAGAAAAATGTTTCAACATATGGGCTCATAACGAAAGAGGCTTCAGAAGGTGGCCGCTTGAAAATATTTTGAAGAGGGTTGCCACCTTCTTGCAATGTCGAATTTAATTAACTTATCAAGAAGTTAAATGAAATGTCAAAATAATAATGTGAAACGAAACAATATTAAGAAGACTTTAGTTTGAACACAAAAAATATGTTTGAGGTGTTGGAAGAGGGTTGCCACCTGTTTAAAAATTTAATTCAAATTAATAAATAAGTTAAATGAATTATTAAAATATGGGTATCAATCGAAGGGGGGTTGAAAAATCTTTATTTCTGAATTTAGCGGAGTTGCCACATGTTTAATTAATATAATTCAACTTAATTCATCAGCTGATTAAAATATGCATCGCAATGTTAGACGAAGAATATTGAAGAATATCCTAGCGCGAAACTACTTTTCAAAAGTGCTGCCACCTGTTTAAAAAGTCGAATTTAACTATATCTATATATATAATACGCGAAAGGACTTTTTGTCCAGGTCATCAGATCTGAACCATTCGTTTGATCTTCAAAAATGAGGTATCAAATTAAAGGGCTTGATATGTAGATGTGCAGTGGGCTTTTACTTTTCCGGAAAGAATGGCCACCTTTTAACCTTTTGAAAAATCAAGTTGAGATTATTTATAAATATAAGATGTTAAATTAAAAGGCTTGGTTGCAGATGTGCAATGAGGATTTACTTTTTGAAAAGAGTTGCCTAGGTATCAGCCAAAATGGTTATTTAAAGCTTTGCTTCTTAACTTAACTGTGAGAGTGTTGTCCCTGTTTAAAAAATTAAATTAAATTTTAAACAGGGAAATTACATAGGTAATTTACAAAATATTCCCCCACAGGGGCCAGACTAAAGGAGTTTAAAAAGGTAGTAATTTGAAAATGTTTTGAAAAGGGTTTCCACCTGCTTTAAAAGCCGAATTTAGTTATATGCAGTATTAAAATAAGGTTATCAATTCGTCGGAATCTTTATTTTTATTTTTTTTTATGTATTTCTATAATTCTTTTGTTAAAGGAAAGGTGTTATCTCAGAGGTGGTCCCATACAAATTTGGTTTAGATCCGATCATTAGATCATGAAGAAATTAACGATAAGCTTAAATTTGGACATGAGAATTGAAGTCGGTTTGGTTTTTTGCTTAAAAATCACTTGTGGAATTTATTTTTACTAAACCACTGTGCAACAGTAAGTCTTTCCGCATGCGCATTTGACCCAAATCAGATTTATGAAAAACCGGCCTCTCTCTTTTGGCCACTTCGATGCAATGATCCATGAAAAATACCAGTTTCTTCAAAGCTTTTAAACTCCGGATTTGAGACGTTTCTACAATCAACTCTCTCATCTACTATATAAGTATGTATGTATGTACAAACATATTTATATACATATCGCTTGCATTCGTGAGCAAAAGTACTGGATCTGTCAGTGCACAATAGTCACGCTTGGGCTTTTCAAGTAATAACATACATTTGTAAAAAGTTCAATGAAGAATTTAATGAATTAACGGTTGCATTATAAATAAAGCCAAAATCGAAGGCTACCGTTTGAGATAATCGTGCGACAAAGTTCAATCAATCAAATAAATAGGAGAGATTTTTGTTTTGTAATGATGTACATAGATACATACATATGTACATATAAGTATGTGTACATAACTACATTTTATTTTAAATTGTGTGTAATTGATGCAAGTTATATGGTACAATATGGTATGAAATAGCAAAATTGTATTCTAAGCTGCATACATACATACGTTTGAATATATTTACAAACATATGCCGGTACATACATAGTCGAAATCGCTTGAGTTTAATGTGCCTACATAAGTTCAAAAGCAAATAAAATCTCTTCATTTATTACCATAACAGCAAGTTAAATTACTTTTCAACCAGGGTACCAACGAATTTCGAGTTAAGATCATTCATTAGCAATTTTGCACTCCAGCAGAACTGTGATCTGTGTACTTTCATAGCGGCTAAAATACATTAAGAAAGATTAAAAGACTAAAAAATTATAAGATTTTGAACACAAAATCACTGCGATAGTCAATTATGCCCGACAAGGATACTGCCAATGTGTCAGACAACGCTAGTCCAGCAGTAATCGCTAGCAACACTTCGATGAATGGAAATCTACAAGAACAACAAAAATTCAAATTGCAATTCAGGAATGTTTCCTATATTGCCAAACAAAGTAAGTACATTCATAAGATTATACATGTATATAAAAATATTTATGTATATACGTATGTGTATTTATGTATAAATATACCAGTTTCGATTTAACGTTCAAGTTTTAGGTAATGAAACATGTTTATTTTTTAATTTTTTCATTTTATATTATTCGTGAAAAATAGTATACGCATGTCCGTTTCTACATATCGACCTCTCTGGGCGAAATTATCGTAGGTATGTGCCATTCTTACGAAACTGACTTTTTCATACAAATTTGTTCTACACCACACAACGCGTCACTTGGTAGAATATTGTAGCTGAAATCCTTATAGTTACACCAAAAATTTACTGCATATTTTATGGTATGTTACATTGCATTTTTTCTTGTAGAAAATATAATTCAATATTATTCCAAAAAATTAAGTATGTATAAAAAAACGCTCTCCTGTAAAATTTGCTTTCTAGCACATACAATAATATCGCTGAAAGGGGTCTATATATTCTCATGAATATTATTTATGTATGACTAAAAAATCACTATCCTAATCCTAAGTAAATACGGAACCCATTGAAAACGATGGACCATGGGCCACAGCTTTCATTTTTTTAACTTCATTATCTAAACGCTTTGTCGATGGCGCCATGAATGTTTTGAACGCAGCAGAAACATCATGAATTTGAATAAGTTTGACATGAAAAAAAACGGGAAAATAGAAATATGTTTATCTAATCTAGCCACAACCACAATCGCGGTGTAGGTCTCTCGCCGCCAAAATAATTATCTTCATAAGAGTATGTGTTGAATTAGTGAAAGATGTGGTCCGTCGTGTTCAATGTGTTTGAAGCAATAAATATACTTAGATAGATTTCAAAATTAATCATCAGGGGATTCTCAAAACTGACCTTGTTTTGTTTTTGATGCCTTTAATTAAAAAAAGTGTGAAAACATAAAAAGTAAAACTAATTGCCCCAAATTTGGTATGCATGCACATTAGGGTGATCCGAAAATGGATGTGAAAACTAAAGTCGGAACTTTAATGCCCTCACCCCTAGGATTGATCTTTATCGAAAAAACGGTACCCCTATTATTTTATTTTGAAATCAAAAATATGTAGAAGTAGCTCAAAGTTTTCCAAATCAAATCAATATTTTTTCTCCCTGTTTCTCTTCAGGAGACTAACAAAAATAATGCCCAATTATTTATTTAACCATTTTTTCATAGTAACTATATTTTATAGGTCCGCCAGAAACCTCTGATAATGCAATGGAGACCGATACGTAAAAATGGCTTATATTAAAAATGGTTAAATAAACAGTTCAGTATTATTATTGGAAGTCTCCCGAAGAGAACCAGAGTTTTTTCGATCGAAAAATTTTCGTTTTCAAGAATTCTATACCATTTCTACGAAAAGTGGTTTTTCCTCTTATAAAATACAGGAAAACTTTGAGCGCTTTGAGCGACCTCTTAATGATAATAATAATAATAGATTGGCGCTTAAGACTGGTTTTCACTGTGTCATATTTTGACGCCAAAATTTGGCGACATATTTTGACACAACTTTATATCTTTTATCCATACCTTGACTGATGATATTATAGGCCAAAAACAAATATATAGCCGATTTAGCAGCGCATGTGTACGACTAAAGACCTATCCGGATCCAAATCCATCAATAAACCGCCTTTTAATCCCATTTGACAATGTGTTTTCACTTACTTGACGACAAATGCCACTGAATTTGACATAGTGAAAATCAGCCTTTACACATATGTTAGTGTTTGGCTGAGCTTCTCCTCCGACTAGTGGCGTGCGCCTTAATGTCACACAAAGCGGAGGAACCTACAGCTTTAAGCCGACTCCGAACGGTGATTTGATGGGAAGCTGTTTTCCATGGCAGTAAAACACTCGGAGGTTTGCCATTGCCTGCCGAGGGACGACCGCTGTTAAGAAAAATCCTTTTTTATCTATGTTTTTTGCGATGTTGCTTTAACCAGGGTTTGAACCCAGGTGCAGCGGAGTGGAATCGCGCACTGCTTACTACTACACCACAGCGACCTCTTAATATTATTATATTATATATTATATTTGCTTTCAAAATAAAAAATATGGGTATACTTTTTTCGGTATAGAACAATCCTAGATGGTGAAAGCATCAAGATTCCGACTTTACTTTTTTTTTTTACCACCCTAATGTACATACATACATATATACTTTGTTTGGTCAGTTTATGGGTTCTTCAAATATAACAATTATTACTTTTGACAAAATATTTCTTATATGAGAAACCATTATGGCGATATTTCAAAATACGAAAAAACAAAAAAAAAATACGAAGTTTATGGGTTACTTTAGAACGGCCCTGTAAGCATTTTCTTTCTTATCTAAATTTAAAAAGTTTTTTGCTCCTCCTGTTTCAAATTTCTCATCGCTTCTATGATATGATAACTTTATTTATGTATATACATATAGACAAAAAGCTGGTTAATATACTCCATGACGTCTGTGGAGAATTCAAATCCGGACGACTTACTGCCGTTTTGGGGCCATCCGGTGCGGGTAAAACATCGATACTCAATGTGCTTTCCGGTTTCAAGTACGATATTTAATCGTAAATCATTACACAGGCCTGCGAAATTTAAGTTTTTATTGCCCCCCTCCAATAATTATGTTACTTTTTTTGAATATCTAGGTATGGTAAATTAAAATACATCTTTTGGTTTTTTTCTAGCATGTCGAAATTTTTTTATTGGTGACATGTATATTTTAGGATTTTAAGCAACTTGCTAATAGACCAAAATTAAATCAGAAAAACTTATGTAATTTCGAAGTTAAAGCTAAGAAAATTGATACAAGTTATTTTCTTACCGTTAAGGCGCATTACTAGCGTTAACCTCGATATTACAAAAGCTTTTCTGATTTACTTTGTCTATTTGTGGGTATATTAAACTAATGATATTGCTTTTAAGTAAAAATTCAATTCTAAATTAATTAAGTTTTGCCTTTTCATGCAAATTGGTAATAATCCTAAAAAATCTCGACGTGCTAGAAAAATATCAAAGATGCGTTTTGATTTAACATACCTATATATTCAAAAAACAATTACATAATTATTGGAGGGGGAAACAACACTTAAATTTCGCTGGCCTGTGTTATTAATAATATTGCACATTGCAAATACATGGATACTTGAAATCTTTTCAGAGCCAGCGGTGTCTCGGGTAAATTTACATTCAACGACAAGGAGCGAAACCTTTTGGCTTTCCGCAAATCGTCATGTTACATTCCCCAGGATTTTGCGCTGCTCGATCTCTTAACGGTGCAAGAGACAATGAACGACTCGGCAGATCTTAAATTACCAGCAAAAATCGTCACTTCGGAGAAACAAAAAATCGTAAGCTTTCCGAAACTAATCACAATGGCTTCACATTTTACTTTATTTCCATGTAGATCGATGACATACTCATGATACTCAATATGGATAAGTGCCGTCACAGATTAGTGCGTAACTTATCCGGTGGTGAGCGCAAACGTCTATCTATCGCTATAGAACTGGTCACAAATCCACCGGTTATGTTTTTCGATGAACCCACTAGTGGTTTGGATAGTGTCGCCAGTTTACAAGTTATCAACTATTTGAGGCGGCTGGCACTTGAAAATCGTATAATCGTCTGCGTTGTACATCAGCCAAGTTCGAGGCTAATAAAACTATTCGATGATGTGATAGTTATGTCACGTGGTCAGGTGCTTTATTCCGGTGCTGAAAGAGAAATGATACCCACCTTCGAAACAGCGGGCTTTGCATTTCCCAATTACTATAACCCTGCAGATTTCGGTAAGATTCAGAGAATATTTCAAAAGCTTAAATATGGATACATAGGGCGGGTTAATTTGTATGGAACGATTTTTTCGACACCCTTTTTAGCAGAAAGAAAAAACAGAAATTCCGTACGTCATGCACCCCTCGTGTCGGTTGGGCGGGAAAGGAGATAAAACCGAATTAATTTATTAATTATTTATTTATTTAATATGAAGTTAATAATAATAGATTGGCACTTACACAATATGTTAGTAGATTTGTGGCCTGCACCGCGATGTTTTTACACAAAGGGGTGGGACCTACAGCGACTGCGAGCGGAGATTGTGTTTTTATGAAAAGGTCTTCCATGGCAGAAATACACTCGGAGGTTTGGCATTGCCTGCCTTAGCGACCGCTATTCGAAAAACTACATACATATGTATATTTTTATTTTGAACCCAAGCCCTGCGGAATGGTAGTCCGTACCTCTACAACTATGAAGATAAATATTTGCTGAAGTATTATTAACAGTGCTGCAACAAGATTTTTTTTTACCAAAATCGCAAAAAAAAGTTACCAATATCAAACTATTTAATGCGCAGAACTGTATTTACAGTGAAAGCTGCCATAAGCGGAAATCGATGGTCACCTACTTTTTGTCCGCCTTTGGGATATGTCCGCTTATGGGACTTTAGTAAAAAAGAATATTAAAATTCAAATTAAAAAAAATGGACATCTGAGGTTTCTAAAAAAATTATATTTCGAGGGCTTATATTCAATATCCTCTATCTACAATTTTCACAAAAACTACTTTGTGATGTTAGAACCCATCTGAGATTTACCTGTCATCACTGATGTTGATTCTGATTTGCAATTTAATAGTGTAAATTCTTCTATTAAGCGTTATACAAGGTACGCATTAATATCACCGATGCCAGTTAAGTCTTAGGTGGATTTTTATATCAGAACCTCATATTTTGTGAAAAGTGCAGACAGAGGGTATTGAATATAAGCCCTCGATTTGTTCTTCAAAATATATACATACAAAAAACGGAATGACTGGAAAATAAGTCAAAATTTATGGCGTTTTCTTTTCTATCCGCTACGCTCAAACAGAAAGAAGAGGGCAACGAAAAGGCAAACATTTTTTGGAGAAGAAAACATATTTGAATATGGAGATATTATGTATGCAAGTATGTATGTGTACATATGCATGCGCAAGACCCAACATCAAACTGGAAAAGACAAAATTTACCGCTTATTATAGAACCGCGTTCGCTTATCAGAGATTTTTTTCCAAAAATATATATGTTTGTGTGTCCTCGTCCGTTTATCATAGCGTATAAATCAAAAATTGTTCGTTCCCAAGAACGTGTCCGCTTATAGGAGATATCCGCTTACTAGGGCGTCCGTCTATGGGGCGTTCTAGAATTCTTGAAAATCAATATTTTTCGATCGGAAAACTCTGGTTCTCTTAAGGATACTTTCAAATTTAATACCCAATTATTTATTTAACCATTTTTTAATACTAACGATTTTTTATTGGTCGCCTCATTGCTTTTTTCGGGGTTCTTGTGGGTTTTTGGCGAAGCTATAAATTATAGTTGCGATGAAAAAATGATTAAATAAACAATTGGGTATTATTATTGGGAATATCCTACAGATAAACAGAGTTTCCTATTCTACGAAAAGTTGTTTTTTCCCCATATAAAATACCTGGAAAACTTTGGGCGATTTGAGCGACCTCTAAATATTTTTTGATTTCAAAATAAAAAAAATAGGGGTATTATTTTTTCCATATAGAACAATCCTACGGGGTGAGAGCATAAACATTCCGACTTTACTTTCTCACATGCCTGTTTTTGGACCACCCTAATGTGCATGCATATGTATATATGTAAGTGTATACAATAGTATTTATACATACAGACATATACATAGGGATGTTTCGAATGTCATATTTTTCACATTCGCTAATGCGAATGCGAATTTTCGGAACGCGAATGTTAGGAATAACATTAAAAAAGCTATAACAAACTCAAGTCATTGTTTCCGTTCCTTAATTTTTTTTTTAATTATTAGAATATTGAACGAGTGTTTAACCTATACAGTGTCTTAATCTGATAGTCAATGTTCAAAAGGGGCAAATATTTGCGGGCCAGATCTGTCAATTTGTTCTATTTTAGTTTAGTTTTCCACCAATCGAGATTCGATTTTCGCCGAGATGAGCTCGTTTTTCTTTAACATAGGGCTTCAGTTGAGCTTTAATTTCACATTTTTTTAATGTCCCCAGGTTCTACATCCGAGCCTTCGCTTTCGCTGGAGGAATGCAAAATTATTTCTAGGTTGCTTATAAGACTTTTAGCAATACTTGTTGGAGGTCCATCAATGTTGCTTGATATACTACTTAGCCGTTTAGCGCCTGAAGCTAAAAGCCGGTTGTTGCCGCCACTGTCTAAAATATATTATATTATACTAGAATAATCTAGTACTTTCATTTTTATCGATAAATTAAAATGACTTGTCACGAGTCGTAAGCCGAGTTCTATAATTGCGCCAATTGTACTTTAGTTAGTTCGTGCATAAAATAGCTCAAAAGCAATTAATCAAGATCTGGTCGTACGTCATATCATCATATTCCACAAATTGATTTAATTTAAGTTATATCCATAAAAGGAGTTTTAACATACATATGTACATGTATAATTACATGTGTTGAAACTATGCATAATAAAGCTTGAATTCACATCCAGCTGACCTAGTTTTTTCTTTCAAAATTCTGAGAAATCATAGAGATACTGTCTCGACACCGGTTATTTTCCGCACCCTGGTTAGACAGACTGAGAGCTATTTCGACAATATTAGAGTGGGCTCTCTGCCCATGTACATATTCACATTCGCAAAACATTCGTATCATTTGATGCGAATGCGAATGTGTAAAATGATGCGAATCATTCGCATAACGAATGCGAATGCAAATATTCGCAACATCCCTGGTCTATACATAAGTATATCCGAAGACACCAATCAGGCAGTCAGCACTTTTCATGTTTTCATCGTTCCATTCAGCTATAATTTTTGTATCTGCACTGAGAGCAAAATCAACCAAAAATTTGTTAATATTACCAAATTCAAACTTGAAAAGGACTCAACGTGATTTTTGGTTAATATTTTACAATGACTTGGTTGATATTTTCAACCACAATTTTGTTTACATTAACACGCTTATGTTCTGCACTTCACAGATGCTTTTTCATAATTCGGAGATACAAAACAAAAATGTTTGTAATCATTTTAACACGTTGCCTCTGACGGGGTTAGCAAATAACAGCAAGCATCCCTACACTCTCAGCTACAGCCGCTTTATAAATTTGTCTTTGAATGTTCAACTTGAATAAATTTTCTTCGTCGTTTAATTTAATCCTGCACTTCACAGATGCTTTTTCGTAATAAAGAAGAACCAAAAAAGGGGAAAAAAATAAAAATTATGTGTTGCCGCTGACTGCATTCGTACTCGAACCTGCCGGAAGCCTCAATTAACAGCAAGCACATCTGCACGTTCAACTACAGCCACGCATACGAATTGGTTTTCAAAAGTTCAACTTGAATCACATTTTTTAAAATAGGTGTATTATAAAAAAACGATTGTACTTTTGGCTCAGTGTGCGTGAGCGCTGAAAGCCATAACACCAGAAACGATTGGTGAGGATTTCGAACCTGTGTAAGTGTGGCCGAAGAAACAAATTTGTCGATTGGGCGTCGGTTTAAGAAACTGGTAGTGTCTTATGGCTCATAATGGTATATTTTGTATCTGGACATATGTACATAGGGTTAAGGCGCATGCCACAAAACAACTGAAGGCATCTGATCATTCACAGTATCATGGATACGGTCCATTGCCACAGAGGATTATAGGTCGCATAATTCCTCGTAGATCGGATATAATTTGGCCCCTGCGATCACCCTACTTGGCACCTTTGGACTTTTTTATGAGGCTACTCGGATGGCCGTATTTATGCGAATACATCTCCAACTTTGGAGCACTTTAAAATCAGCATTTTTCCAGTTATGGCCAATATACATAATACTTACATATGTCAACAAGTGGCCGAAAATATCTCAAAAAAAATAACTCTTGAAGGCAGTCCTGAAAGCTTTCGATGCACACATAAGCAAGAGCGAGAATATATGTACATATGTATTTACATAGAATTCTACTCATATGGTTACCAGGGTACACCGGGATATTGATGGCAATTGCAAAGCTGACGATATAGCAATAGCAAACAGTTTGTTAGAGATCACACCATTCCAGCAGCCAAGGAATGCTTGAATAACTTTTCGGCTTGCAGGAATACCTGGTATTTTTCGAAAAGGAAATGCTCATCATTGCTCTTAATTTTAAACAGAAACAAAGGCCCGTAGTCATAGTCAAAATAAAGTCGACTTTAAAGTTAGTTGCAGCTTTTTGACATAATTTTCAATGGGATATCTGTCAAAAAAGCTGCAACTAACTTTAAAGTCGACTTTATTTTGACTATGACTACGGGCCATTGTTTTTAACAATTTCAGGAAAAAAGGAACTTTTCTTTTTTGTTTACACCTAAAAAGTGCCTTTCGTTGAAAATCAAGAAAATAGTAGCCGGTCGCTTTATTTACAGACAACATTATCTTAAATATAGCGAAAAAGAACAAAAAAGTACAAATTTTTCTCCATGTGTAAAATTGGTCAACTTTGAGCGGCTCTACCTCCTTAACTACTAATCCATGTTTAATAAACGTTATATTTTAGTAGTCTCTGTAAATTTCTCTATTAGACACATTTATTCACTTTATCAAATTTCTAGTATAGGTCTGCCTGACGTCCTGGTTTTCCAGGATTTGTCCTGGTTTAAACAGATTGTCCTGGTGTCCTGGTCCACACTTAAATTGTCCTGGTTTTTTAATGAAGGTCAATGCAGACACCCATCTAATTTTTTTGCTTTGAAAAAAAGGTTAAGCTTTCTGTAATTAGTAGTCGAAAATCGACAATGAAA